TTTTTTTTTTTTTTTTTTTTTTTTTTTTTTTCAGGAACATCAGCTTGCCCAAGTGGGAAATTCTACTGCAAAAATGCTGGACATGCTCCAGTGATCTTATATTCATCGAGAGTTAATGATGGTATCTGTGGTAAGCTGACTTTATTTTTGGCACGTATGTTTTGGACTGGTTCTCCTCTGAGCTTCCTATGTCATTGAGAATGATCAGGTGCATTCTGCAACGTCTGCATATATTGTAATCTGTGAACCTGGTCTTGCTTAATGTTTACTACGCCATCTCTTCATTTTTCATTGTCGATCTTCTTTTTCTTGTCATGTTATGCATGGGATTGTCTTATCGGAAAATAGAAGAAAGCTTTCATCTACCACCTACATTTATGTTACAGCCTTTTATTTCTTGTTTTAGTTTGTGTCTGATTACTTATGCCTTAAATGTGATCTTTTACGACTGCTGCAGATTGTTGTGATGGGAGTGATGAGTATGACAGTAAGACTAAGTGCCCAAACACATGCTGGGAGGCAGGAAAAGTAGCAAGAGAAAAATTGATGAAAAAGATTGCCACATATCAGGAAGGCGTCACCATACGCAAAAAGGAAATGGAACAAGCAAAATTGGCCATTTCCAAGGACGAAGGAGAATTGTCAAAGCTGGAAGACAAGGAGAAAATACTCAAGGAACTCGTTGAAAAGCTCAAGGGTATATTTAGCCGCTTTCCTTTAAGTGCAATTATTCGTGGCATGAAAACATGCTATACGTATCATTCCTATCCCATTCTCAATGACCCATTCTTTTTAAGAGAAAGAAAAAGATCTAAAACAGCATCATATATAATACACAAGTCACAAAAATGTATAGCTTAGTGCAAAAACCCGCCTAAGTAGTTCATTATTAATTGATTTCAGAAGTTCATGTAAATCATTAGTGAGTAGGGATACGTGAAGTCTCCTTCATGCTTGCTGTAGACATGATAGTATCGAACCTGGCTTCCAAAGTTGTGTTATGTTACATTTGTAAATGTCATGTCATCTCAGTTCATTTTGTCTTTATAATTCTGTGAGAACATTTATGTTATGCATTGTTGATACTGCTTTATCTATGTGTGTATGTATTTTTGTGCTAGTATAGGGGCGAATGTAGTGAAATAACCTGTTAAGCTTACATGACTAAGCAGTCAGACAGTGCTATGTTTTGTCTTTTCAAAACTGAAGGCTTGTCAGATTTTCTGATAAATGCATTTTCATGAATTCATTGCTCTGTTATGAGAGGATTACGTTATTAGTTATTGATCAAATTGTTTTGGTGGTACTTTCTGTCTGTTCTTATCAAGAGCGCAAGGAATTGATAGAGAAGGCCGAAGAAAAAGAACGGCTTGAGAAAGAAAAGGAAGAGAAAGGAAGGAAAGAAGCTGAAGACGCTAAACAAAAAGAAACAACAGCCGAAGAAGCTAAAGTGAAGGATACAAAAGCTGAAGTTATTGACTCTGAGCAGCATGATCTTCATGATAATTCTGAGCATGAAGATTCACAGGTTTTAAGTGCTGGCCCTTTCTATATGATAGTAATGATTTGCTTGCTATTGAAACCTGCAGAGAAAGTATACTATCATACATCATGAGCCAAGATGTTTTGTGAATATAATATTCAATTTTTATTAATATCAAATCTTAGTTTTTGGTCCTTGTCAGAAAGAAAGAAAGAAAGAAAAAGAGTTCAATTGGTTTCACTGTTGTTACCAGCACTCTCAAATAAGATTTAGGTGATGACTTGATGTTATTCTGTATTTCCCCATTTCATAGTTTACCATAACTTCCTGAACATAGCAAAATTAAGGTTGCATGCAGGTGTGTTTCAAAGGCAACTGTTAGACCTGCCGAGAAAAGGTCATAATTTTATTATAATGAAAAATGCTATACTATGACTATTCTGTGGACTTCCCTTATTAGTAAATTATTATTTGCAAACATCGATCAGCTTAATTATATTTCCTAGCAAATTTCCTTGTGATAGACCTGAATGGTATCAGGAGTAATCTTCTTTGCTTCTAGTTTCCTTGATTTCTGAATTCCTATATATGGTGTCAACTGTCAAATAGGATCCTGTGGTAGACCATCCTGAAATGGTCAATGCACCTGAGCTTGACCATTCAATTAAGGACAGACCTCCAAGTGATGGAGTAGAAGATAATGAGGGCTTTATCCAGGTTCACTGTTGTTTTATCCAAATACCACTTCTTGAGACCACACAAAATGTTTATTCATAACTTTATGTTCGTACTTCTTTCTTGTTTAGAACACAGAGTACCAAGGCGAAGATCCAAATGTTGATGAAAAAGCTGATTTCAATACTGGAAATGAGGTAAATTTTTGGTGATTGGCTGATTGCATATTACACAATGTTGTGTACTATATTTTTTCTTTTCCAATAAAGTTGCTATTCCGTTGTAATTTTTGTCATTCTAAAATATATTGTCTCATATTCAGACATTCAACTAATTCCACCCTCATCTTTTTAACGCAACCATTTTTGTGATTTCAGGATGAAGATATAGCTGAAGATATTGAGACATTATCCAGGGAAGAGTTAGGACGTCGCGTTGCATCCCGGTGGACCGGAGAACAACCTGGGCAACATGAGGAGTTTGACACCTCTGTAGATAAGAATCATGAATATTCTGATGAGACACAAAATGAAATTACCGATGAGGACAATAATGACTATGTATCAGATGATGACGAGCATAAGTATGATGATGAAGATGAAAGGGAAGACCTAGTCGATGATTTTGGAGGGGAGGATCATTTGGATACAGGTTCTTCTTCCGAACCTGAGTCTGATGATGAGTATGACTTGTCCGGTAATTTATTTTCTGTTGAAGTTTCACTTTCAGTTACAGTATGTTGAGAAAGTGTAAGTTATTTATATATAATTCAGATTGGTCAGATATTACTGGCGCAGGTGGCTCATCTTGGCTGGAGAAGATACAGAAGAAAGTGAAAACCATCTTTCAGGCTGTTAATTTGTTCCAGAAACCTGTTAATATATCTGGTATGGGAGTATTTGATGATTTTCAGCTTTACTGGACACAAGTCAGAAAAATAACATCAGTTTCTTGATTCACTCTGCAGAGGCTGCGCATATTCGAAAAGAATATGATGAATCCAGTGCCAGATTATCCAAAATACAGTCAAGGATATCGAGTCTAAAACAGAAACTAAAACAAGATTTTGGTATGGAAAGATATGGGACAAAATAAATTGTCTTACTGTTATTGTTTTTACATCTATTGCATGGTATTCAGTCATCATGGGAAGTGAATGTGCTCACGTTAATACTGCAGGTCCAGAGAAGGAATTCTATTCATTCTATGGTCAATGTTTTGAGACAAAGCAGAATAAGTCAGGAGCTTCTTAATTATTCTTTATGAGCTTCTTTGATTCATCATTTGCTACGTAAAGAAACTAAGTTTTCTTATACCAGGTGTTGAAATTCTCTGTTTCAGGTATGTTTACAAAGTCTGCCCTTTCAAAGAAGCTACCCAAGTGGAGGGTTACAGCACAACTCGGTTGGGGTAACCATATTTTTTTCATACTCAGTGTACTTCATATTTATTTATGTTCAGAGCATTTTCTTTTATTCTGCTTGGATTTACTATTTAGGCATGTCCTGTATAGAATCCCCTTGCTTGTAGGTCCCCAAAATCCAAGCTTTTTCGTCACATTCTATTAATCTAATTGTGCAGGAGCTGGGAGAAATTTGAAGATTCTTACAGAAACATGCAGTTTTTACATGGAGATAAATGCTGGAATGGCCCAGATAGAAGCTTAAAGGTAGACATGTATCTTAAAACCATCATGGCATCTTGAACCATTCTGTTATTTTAATGCCATCATTGTTGCGTGCCAAGCAGTCCATATGTGTTTGACTGCATTCTGTGTAACCTACTTAATGGAATAGTTAAATTCATTTCTCGAACTTAAGTTGACGAGATGTTGCAAATGAGAATTTTTATCATGTTAGCCCGTTTTACTGTTTCTTTCCCAAAACCAACTTGTTTGTCTGCACACCTGAAATGCGTTTGTTTTAATTGGGAAGACAGCATTTTATAGGTGCACATTTTTGTATAGGTTCTGTTATCTGATATTCCACACCGTTTTTTGTTGGTGGGTCATTGAGTGCAGGTCAAATTAAGGTGCGGTTTGAAAAATGAACTTACAGACGTTGATGAACCAAGCAGATGCGAGTATGAATCTATATCTCCCTCTTTCTTGTATTCAGTTGCATCTCATAGGATAGTGAACATATATGTATGTGTGTACGTTTTTTTGGATGTCTGCTTGTGGTTCATGTGCCTTAGTTATGCAAAACCTTGTGTGGGACTTTTGTTTTAATGTTATCACATTTTTCTTCTAATTTTTCTTCGTACACGTGTCTTCAGGTACGTGGCATTTTTATCCACTCCTGCTCTTTGTCTTGACAGTAGACTTAAGGTTGCCTTTCAATCTACTTGCTATTTTTTTCACGTTTTCCTCTCCATTTATCTAACTCGTTATTTGATGCAACGTGGTATAGGAACTACAGGAAAAATTGGAGTCACTGAACAAGGATCAACCCCAAGTACATGACGAGCTATGATCACTCTTGATCTAATTAACTGGGAGATATGCTTTTCCCCTTCGATATACGATTCTGTTCACCCAATGGCAAATAACATGCCTTCTATCTCGTAGATCTTAGAGGTAGTTGAGTTGCTAAAGGAGTAGTTATTTACGGGAGACAAACTAGCCAAAGAGAAAAANAAAAAAAAAAAAAAAAAATCCTTGTGTAATTTGGACTTGTATTCATCTTACTCGAGAATAGTTTTATTGTATTGAGAACTCTGTTTTTGTTCTTCTTTACTCAGAGAAGAGAGAATTTTGTTACATTCTAAATGATGCGTCTCCTCTGTGTGTACGTGTGTGGTTCTTTTTGAAAAACGGTTAAAAAAGGAGAGCGGGAACGAAATTAGAATTGGGAAGGGTCGAGAGTTGAAAGCTGTAGTTTTGAAGCATCTGAATCAGAGGCCTGCTAATTGTTATTTGTCCCTTAAATGGCATGGATGGAAGGCAGAAAAAATATAAAAGACAACAAATACAAATAGTTAAGGAATAATGATGTGGATGACATGATGGAAGAGGAGAGAATTAGAATAAAGAAAATATTATTTATTTTTTAGATATATCCACGCCTGAATGGTAAATGAAACCGAGCCTTATATTTATCAACCAAAACACAAATTTGTGACTAATTAGAAGAGTGCGAGTCTATTACTTAAGACTTTCTGAAATTTTTGAAATTATATATAGGAGAATAATATATATCAAATTAATTATTTTAAAATTGAAATTAATATTATATTTTGTAGGAGAGGTATTGAGCGGCAATTTTTAGCACATATGAAAAATGGTAAATTAGTACATATAATCGAAGTTGAGGGTGTTGATAGGGCTGTTCGACAAGTCCTTGTTCGTGCTTGTTAATTTTTTTTTTATTGATACCATACAAGCAGGGACGGATCCAGAAATTAAGAGTAGACTGAGCTAGAATTTTAAAAAATTATTTTCACAAAAATCACATAATAATTTGTTTTTCAATATTCACTGAAGTTGTGCTCGACGAGTTTTTACCAAAAAAAAAATCATTATGCTCATTTTGCATCGTATTTGATGTGCTTTAACTAATTTGACGTCGATCCCATTTTCTAAAGAATAATGATATCAACGAAGTTTTTCCTTTCTTGGCCGAATGTTGGTGTTATATGTGAATTTCTAAAAATTTCACACTACAAATAAATAGATTTTTCATATGGCATAGTTATTAGCAAAATGAAATGCCTACACATCATAAATTTATATCCAACTATGATATACAACAAGCACACTAGAAGATAAGAGATTAAACACACACACACACACAGTAGCAATAACTTTAAAATTATAAATAGCTCAACTAAAATGAGAAGATAAACAAAGACAATTACACAAATAAAATAAATATGTAATAGAGGTTTAAAAATATAGCTTACTATTAAAGAATAAATTCAAACGTCTTCATGAAAGTAGCTCTTCCTGTTGAATAGTTTTTTTTTTTTTCCTTCTAAATTCAGTGTTATGGTGTTCAGAGGAGGGACATGGCCGTGGCTAATTTAGGGTTAATTGCCAAAAAAATCACAACTTTTTGCTTAATTGCAAATAAAACTCAACCTTTTAAATTTTACACATAAAACTCAACCTTTTTAAATGTTTGCAATCTTGTCTCAAAGTTGACTTCCGGCAAAGGTCCGCTGACGTGGACGATCGGAAAATTGACGTGGCAATCAAATTAAATAATTTATGCCACATCATCAGACACGTGTATTTACACATCAACACCCCCTCCACGTCATATAAGCAAATGACAAGAAGAGGAGAAATCTGAGAAAAAAGAAAAGAAAAAGGAAATCTGAGAAAAAAGAAAAGAAGAGCAGAGCTTTCTTCTCCATTATTCGATTTCCCATTATTTGCAGAAATCTGAGAAAAAAGAAAAGAAGAGGAACAACGAGCTTTCTTCTCCATTCATTCCACGGGCTATGCGATTTACCTCCATAGTGGTCGATGTCTTTGGGGAAATTTAACAAACACCTTGTAGACAAGAGTTTGAAGTAGAAAGCTTGGATGAAGGCAACAATGGTGGAACCCAATGTGTATCTCACTTCAATTGCAATAATTCATCAACGAACCCAACAATTCAAATCCTTCACAAAGTAGCAAGAATTTTTATTACCGGAAAGTGGATTCTCAAATACGCTATGTGGAATAGTGGACTTGGAGCTCGAGGGAGATGAGGCGGCGGGGAGTGGACGGCTTCGTCGCTGCTCGTGGCCAGAGAGGACGCCGGCGAGGATGGACGGAGAAGGCGACGCCGGCGAGAGCTGTTGGAGAGGACGACCTTAGGATTCTCGGGTTCAAACTCCAAAGGTTCGGTAAGATTCTCTTCGTGACTGTTGGTATAAGGAATTTTGGAGAGGAAGGACGAATTTCCGAGATGTTGCAAGGATGTGGAGAGAAATTCGATGTTGGATGGTTGTTGGGAGCAAGAAAATCGCCGGTACTCTTTAGCATCTCCATTTCAGCTCTAAGAAGTCATGAAAAAATGGTGAATTCTGGGCATTCCTGACGTGGCACAAGTTATTTAATTTGATTGCCACGTCAATTTTCCGATCGTCCACGTCAGCGGACTTTTGTCGGAAGTCAACTATGAGACAAGATTGCAAACATGTAAAAAGGTTGAGTTTTATGTATAAAATTTAAAAGGTTGAGTTTTATTTGCAATTAAGCAAAAGGTTGTGATTTTTTTGGCAATTAACCCGCTAATTTATTTGATTGGAGTTTGGTGTATAATGGTGTTTAGTTGGTAAGTGCATAGTAGAAAAGGTGGATCAACAATATATAATATTTTATTAAAGTGGTGTTAGCAGTCTTTGAACTTTATATAAGTGAGTAATTTTGGTGGGTTAATAAGTTGATTTATTGGGCTGAGCTAGAAATACAATTATTTTTTTTTTCAAACTAATTGTTATTAAAAAAAATAACAGGAATAGATCCGTCCATGCATACAAGTTATTTTATGTAATACTCAACATATATCCATATTTACATATATTATATTATATATGTGTATACTATATATATAATATAAAATTATAAAATACCTTTTTGTTCGCAAATGCTTGTTTAGTTTGCGAACGTGTTCGTGTTCGTTCGATAACTAAACAAACATAATGTCATGTTCGAGTTCAGTTCGTTCGACAATTAAACGAACATAATATCATTTCCGAGTTCAGTTCAATTACTAAACGAACGAGTTATTATCGAACAAGAACAAACTTTGTTCGCGAACAATTTGGTTCGATAAGTAGCCTTGTCGAAAATTTGCCACTGTCATTATTATCCTACTTAAAAAAACTCATTTACTATTCACCACCCCCCCTATTACTACTTACCGCCCCCCTTGGACAATTTTGCCCCTGGCATTTTTTTTC